TGTTAGAGCAAGTTTCCGGAGGAGATGGGAAGGAATGTGGTCAAAAGCCCACCCTCTGATACAGAAAGAAAGATAATGAGGGTGAAGGTCATTTCAGATAAACTGATCAGCAGAGGGAATGGGAAAAGAGGGAAGGTGCATTGTATGTAAGTGACCTTGTGTTGTTATTTCTGATCCTCCTATCATAGTATGAATGCGGAAGAGAAAAATTATACAGAATGGTGGTTAACTCTATTCTGAGTAATGCTAATAGTCACCATGTATGTCTGTTGCTGATAATTAACTCCTAATTACCATGTAATGATTATGTATTGACTTTTGTAAGTTTGGTATGATTACAAAACCAAACTTACTATTCTCAGCCTTTTACATTGCATAGTAATTCCTTGAAACTTCCAAAATTAATGAGAATATTTGTAATAAATTATACACTTGTAAGTTTGCCTCCATTTTAGCCAAAAATCTTCCTAGAGGATAACCTGGAATTATGTTTGGTTAGACTATCTTTATTTAGACAATAAAGTTCTTTTTTCCTTCCTAATGGTTTTGTTTATATCAAAATATGCTTTGTGAATGTAAGTGGAGAGTTCAAATCCTCTAATGACCAATACCTCCTCCATTGGGATCCCAGGATGCTCAGCTTGACCCTACTGCTCTTTCTGCTTCCCAGTTATAGCAGAAAACTTATCCTACCTTCTGAAAGAGACAGCTTCTTCCCCCTCCCTTTTTTTAAGAGAGAGATTTTTGCTATACAGTGCATGCGCTTGTGGGAGAGACAGAGAAAGAGAGACAGAAAGCGAGAAATCACCCTCCAGGAAGGATGGCTATGCTGCAATCCCTTCTCCATTCTCCTCAGATCTTGGGCATGCACATGCCCCCCGCATGAGTTTGAAGCCACCAGGTCTGGGACTTGAATTGTGGTCGGCCATATGGGAGTCCAACAACGTAACCACTATGCCATCTGTTGGCCCCTGAGCCTATTCCCTTTGATACAACCAGGGATGGTTTGTGAAAGCAGGAAGGAGGGGTAGAAAGAGGAAAGACTGTCGGTTATGTTAGTAGGATAGTGCCCTTGCAGGCTGTGGAGGCCTAATGTCTTGCTTCCAGGAAGGGAGTTTGTTTATATTCCTCATGGGTTCTAGGCTCTTACTTTCAGAAAGCCCTTCCCACCTTATGGCAATCATTAAAACCAGACTATATTAATAATATCGCAGTGCAGTTGATGTGATAGTTTGATTTGTAGGTATTTATTCGAATATTTTATTAAATTCGGTGATATTTTGCTCCAAGTCTCAAATATTTTTTAAGACTCTGAAAGTTTATAAGCTTCAGACATCATCTCTAGTGCCTTAAAGAGGAAAGCCTTCTGGGCTATGGTGGTGGAATCCCTTGTAGACTTAGTATTTTTAATTTTGTAAATAGCTTCTTCCCTGGGGCCGCTCTGCTCCAGCCCCACTAGCTTCTCTAAGTTCCAGTTTTGAGGCTAAAGTTTCTATTCCTCCCTCTCAAGAGGGCTTTTGGATCCCTCAACAAAATGACAGTGGATCTTGTCAAAACAGTGGCTTCCAAGAGTAAGAGCAGCCTTAGCTAATCTGTACTGAAGTCCCAGGTATACCTTTCCCTGGCTTGTTTGTCTTGTGGTCATATAACTCCAAAGTTCTCTCTAGAACTTTTCTTTTATATCCAGACTGGGAAGTCTCTGGTGGTGGCATTTATTGGAAATAAGCAATGAAAGAAAAGTAAACAAGATACCTCATTACACATAGCAGGGCAAAACTGCAGGAAAAGCCCTGTGCTTTAAGTGAAGAACAGCAGTACAGTGTTCTGAGTGAGTTGACAGAATGGCTTTCCTCTGCTCCTCCTGATCCCAAGAGATGTAATATTATAAGGAAAAAAACCCCAAAGCTTTAGGAAGACATATATTTTAATGTTTGTATTACATATTTCATGATGGAATTGAAGCTAGAAGACAAGAAAGCATCTGGAAATGTTGTAAAATTAACAAACTGTTTAAAATTGTTTCAGGATTTTAAACAAGCTGCAGTGCTAAGCCAGACCGATGTGAACCTTTGCCATGCTACCGCCATGTGCCACCACAGGTATGGAGTGCAGCCAGTGTCAAAGAGGAGCGAGTGGGACCTTCAGACTTGCCAGTTATTGCCTCATAAGCAAGCCAGGAGGAAATAGAAGAAATGGGGGGAAAGGTTATGAAAGTGACAGAACACAAAAATGGGGAGAAACACGAAGTGTTTCCTGTAGAGCCACGAGACCACACCTAATACATCATTTGCACCCCGTGCCTTCCAGTGAACTATTTTAGCCAAATTAGCAAGTAAATACTTGCATGAGGCATTGAAGGTATTCATCTAATTCAAGCCCATGCAGTGGAACAGAACTTGATAATACATAGAATAAAATTATGCATAACTCAGAATATCTAAGCTAAAAATAAAACCATTAATTTTGTTCCATGAAATGAGACTGACTTTTACAAAGCCTATATCCTGGAAGAGGGGGTCATTTCAAAAAATAATATTGATCTAAGAAGTTTGGCATTCAAAAATATATTCTAAATCTAAAACAACTTCCAGCAGTACCATAAAATATCTACAAAATACAATGAAATCTATAAAACCCACTATATTTAAAGTAGTTTTTAATTTTTTCTGGGATGATTTTAAAAATAAGCAAGTTATATTATAGAACGAAGAAGAGAAGAGTTACTTCATACAAGATGATGATCAGTTTAAAATATAACCTGAGAACATTAGCGTGTAGTGTATAGACTTTGCTGACTGTAATATTTATACCTCCACATCTGTATTTGATAGCTCAACGTTATTAATTTTTTTTTTTTATAATTTTGGTTTTAAGATCATGGCAATTCAGGACATGAGGACTTTAATTTACGATAAAATACAGAATCATGTACCATACAATGTGGTCAGTGATGGGCCGCATCTGTGAAAGTACTCTCAGATTATAGTAGGTTATACCGTAATAACCTAGGTGCAGAGTAGGCTCTACCAACCAGTGTGCTCTGATCATGCAGTGATGAAGTGGCCTAACAATGCATTTCTCAGAGTGTATCGCCTTTAAGCAATGCATAACGATATTTAGTTATGTAATAGTTTAAAGTATTATTTTTTCCACCAGAGAAGCAATAGCAGTTAATTTAGAAGAGGAAATTGGGATAGTTCATTAATTATGTAGTCTAGATTATGTAAGTATCTATCTAATGAACAGAATATAATTTGAATTATTTAGGAAAATGACATCCTTGTTTTTTTCTCCTGTAGAATATAGATAGTACAACTATATGTTCCTATGAGAGTTAGATTTTAAAGTTTGATGTGCATAAGTAACTGGAATATAATAACTGGAAACTTTGGGTTAAAAGGCCTAAACTGGTCTCAGACCTTTCATTTTATGTAGACAACAAAACATAATCACAGTATCATCTATTTTAATGGAGCAAACTTTGTAGACTCCATCTTTTTAAATAATTGTCATTCTTTTTTTTTTTTAATTTTTTTTTTTTTTAATTTTTTTTGTTTTTTGGAGAGATTTTCGCTATAGGGCGCGTGCGCTCGCCAGACAGACAGAGAGAGACATAGAGACAGAAAGTGAGAAATCACCCCCCAGGGGGGCTGGGCACGCCGCAATCCCTTCTCCTCCATTCTCCTCTCGGGATCATGGGCACACATGCACACGCGCCCGGCGTGAGTTTTAAGCCACCGGGTCCGGGACGCGAACCGCGGTCGACTACGTGGGAATCCAGCGACATAGCCATTACGCTAACTGCTGGTTCCCAATAATTGTCATTCTTTTTTTTTTTTAATTTTTTTTGTTTTTTGGAGAGATTTTCGCTATAGGGCGCGTGCGCTCGCCAGACAGACAGAGAGAGACATAGAGACAGAAAGTGAGAAATCACCCCCCAGGGGGGCTGGGCACGCCGCAATCCCTTCTCCTCCATTCTCCTCTCGGGATCATGGGCACACATGCACACGCGCCCGGCGTGAGTTTTAAGCCACCGGGTCCGGGACGCGAACCGCGGTCGACTACGTGGGAATCCAGCGACATAGCCATTACGCTAACTGCTGGTTCCCAATAATTGTCATTCTTTTTTTTTTTTAATTTTTTTTGTTTTTTGGAGAGATTTTCGCTATAGGGCGCGTGCGCTCGCCAGACAGACAGAGAGAGACATAGAGACAGAAAGTGAGAAATCACCCCCCAGGGGGGCTGGGCACGCCGCAATCCCTTCTCCTCCATTCTCCTCTCGGGATCATGGGCACACATGCACACGCGCCCGGCGTGAGTTTTAAGCCACCGGGTCCGGGACGCGAACCGCGGTCGACTACGTGGGAATCCAGCGACATAGCCATTACGCTAACTGCTGGTTCCCAATAATTGTCATTCTTAAGGACAAATGGAATAAAGATGACTTATGTGTTTGTTTGGGTGAAGAGGGGCAGACCAAAAATATCTGAGGTGATTACATTATGTTAAAGCCAAAAACAGACTCCAAAATTTCTCTTAACCTCATTCCTATGTTTAGCAACTATTAGAATCAGTAAATTTCTCCATGTGTCAGTTCACAATCTCTTTTATGAAATGTAATCACTGGGTATCTATGGCAGAGTCTCCTTAAGCTGATACTGCTTTGCAATTCCAAATAACCAACTTTCATCACCTTGCTACAATCTCTATTGTTCTTTAATAAAAGTAGAATTTAAATCAGTAAAGCTCTGATAACTCAGAGTTGCAATTCCATGTGTTCTGAGTTTTAACAGTTTTACTGAATTTAACAAGAAGGAGTGTTTAGTGATTGATTATATTTATTTTCAGGAAAATATTCTTGCTTTTCAAGGTAAGGTGCAATATATAATACTTAGTCACAGCAGCATGGTTCCTAACTATGAGAATTCCCTTTTAGAGTCTTATAGTGGGAAAAGTAAAAAATTTCTCATTTGGAAAAATTCTAAAACAAGTAAATCTTCAAATTTTAGCACTTTGATCTTTGAACTTGTGGGGTTGCAGACTTTTGAAGTATTCTTTGTATATCTTTGGTTCTCACATGGTTGCTAGGAGACAACATTCCTTTGGCTTGAATATCCTACTTGTTGCCTAATTTAGTCACCGAGAGTGTTATGGAAGAGTTAATTTTTAGATATCTTTGAGAAAGCCACCTTCATATCTTAAATATAGTATCTTTGAGGGAGTTTAGGTTTTTATTTCAGCACATTTATTTAACTGTTCTTGTATCTGCATGAAATATTTTTGAATCTTTAACTGAAAACCACTTTCTTTAGTAGGGGAGGTATTTGTGGTTTATTTGCACAGCTCAGTAGAGCACATCTGGTCACGTATGTGATTAATTTGGAAAATGCAGTGGGCCTTTGTACCTGTGGGCTAGCCAGCAAGTTCAGCAATGCTCTCTTGGGGCACTGAAGTGAGAATCATGCACCTTCAGTGAGCGAGCACATTCCTTTAGATTTATACATACATACATTACTTCAGAAAAACTCACTTAATATTCTTCTATATTTGGAGTAATTGGTACTTGACCATTTGAAGCTCAATGAACAAGTATCCTTATAATAGCATAGACATTCCGCCACATTTTCCAATGGCTAACTGCCATGTGGTTACTTAATAAGAACTTCAACCTGTAGGACATGGATAGACACATTTTAGAAAAATGAAACTGATGTCTTTGTAGTGGTACCTACTTCATTTCATTTCTTGTTCTTTGGTGCAGGTAGCTGGGGAGTCTATCTTTAGCACTGTCAACTCCTTTGGAGTTGGTTTTAGTCATCATCAGCTTTGAAGAACCTGGTATGGGGCTTTCAAGATTTTTTCTAGTACAAGGTTTAATGATTATTTACTTAGTGTGAACAGACTAAATATTCATGAAAAATTAGTGCTGTTAAGGAGATAGGCGTAGAAAAATAGCATCTTTTGTTGCCTTTTGGTAATTCATGACTCACACTCCATGTTGGTAAGCTTCAGTTTGCTGCTTCGTTTTTGGTTTTGGTTGGTTACGCTATATAAGGGAGGGATTATATTTTATAAGCCATATATATAAGAATATGTACTTGCAAAGGGTTTTTAATTTTCCTCTGGGTAAGAGGGGCAATATGATGCAGTTTGATGTGTATATATTCGTGGCATTTCAATAATTTATAGGAAATATATGGAAGAACAGGGTCCTTGCATATTTCAGTTTACCTGGTCATCAAAGGTGTCCATCATAACTAAATACCTCACAACCATAGATAGAAACGCTGAGCACAACAAAACTTACCAACCAGATGCATTTTATGCAAAATGACTTATCATCAATTCTTGATAAAGGATTGTTAGGTTATGTTTAGAATTATTGCTGCAATAGTCAGAGGACACCTGGAAAGGCAGTGTGACCTATGTTTGGTAGACTTCTACTTCTTAAATAGTGTCAATTATTAGAAAAGGGGAGCACAAGTTAATTGTAAAGTACTTAAGGGAGTGATCTTGTGTTTTCTGCATTAACAACCCTCAAAGGAAACTCAGAAAATACCAGCTGGCTCATATAAATGAGTATTAACCTTTGCCTATCTGAGATGCCAGAAGCCAAGCTTTCCTAGCTCTTCACCATCAATTCTCGTGTGATCTTCTAGCAGAGCACCTGATGTACCACTTTTGGGTAGTGTTTGGCAAAACATGGAGTAAATTTCATGAGTACTTCAGTTATTTTTCATGGTATGGACAAGCATAAAAGAAATACTGGATCACATTTTGAGAAACTCTTCGCTTGTCAGTTTCAAAATAAATTATTTCTCAAATTTTCTATGTCAAGGAGAAAGTCTCAGTGAAGAGATATTCTTGAATGACTTTTTGACTCTTTGTACCATGCGGTATAGCTCTCATTTCAATTTTCCATAGACTATGAGTATCTAGCTGCAATTTTACTCATTTCAAGTTTTGCCTTATAGTTATGGCATGGGATACTGATTTTTCTATTTTTAAAATTTAAATTAAGTTTTCTTTAAAAACATTTAATTAAGTGAAAAAGTGAATTGATTTAAAAGTAAATATTCAGTAAATGGTAGTGTAGGGGGAACACAGGGCAATTTTCATGTAGGTAGGGCTGAAGTTTGAGGATTACTTTATTAAGAGATACTTTTGAGTAATATCTAGGAGGTGACACTGTTTAGAACAGTTATCTTGGGTCCTATGTATTTTTTTTTTTTTTAGAGAGATTTTTACTATAGGGTGTGTGCACTTGCCAGAAAGACAGAGAGACACAGAGAAAGCAAGAAATTACCCTCCATGGGACATGGACATGCTGCAGTCCCTTCTCCATTCTCCTCTCGAGACTTTAGGCACTCACACACATGTGCCCAGCATGAGTTTGAAGCCACCAGGTACGGGATTGGAATGATGGTTGACGATGTGGGAGTCCAGTGACATAAGCATTATGTCATCTGCTGGTCCTAGGTTCTATGTATTTTTTTAAAGGAAAAATTGGTGAAGTAGTGATGTGTGTTATTAATTTTTTTCCTTTTTTTCTCCTTTTTTTTTTTTTGAGAGGTTTTCGCTATAGGGCACGTACACTCACCAGAAGACAGAGAGACACAGAGAGACAGAAAGCAAGAAATCACCCCCCGGGGGGGGATGGCCACGCCGCAATCCCTTCTCCTCCATTCTCCTTTTGGGATCTTGGGCACGCATGCACATGCACCCGGGGTGAATTTAAGCCACTGGGTCCAGGACTCAAATCACGGTCAAACCACTTGAGAGTCCAGTGACATAGCCATTACGCTAACTACTGGTCTCTGTCTTATGAAATTTTGAAATATATCTGAGAAGTAATGAAAAGAACAGAAGGAGGATGATCTTTATTGGGTGATGGCCTCTGTGCTAGGTGTTCTTCACATACTTTTATTTGATGTGCATGGCAACCTTGAAGCAGTAGTATTAATGTACGTGTTCAGGCTCAGGTCTGAACCCCAAGCCTCTCTTCAGACTACCTAGCTGGAATGTAAACTCACTGGCTCTTGTGCACCACCCACAGGCATGTGATAGGGACAGAATGTGCATCAGAAATAGCTGGGTAGAAAAGCATGGATTTCGAAATAAGATTTACGTGAGTTTGAATCTCAGATATTTACTCTGCATATACTTAATATGTTCTTCTCTATGCCATTTACTTTGTGCAGAGTTTTCTGGGCCGTGATTTTTCATCTGTAAAATGCGGATCATTATAACTAGCTTACAGGGTTGTTGGGAGGACTAACTAACTGGCACATGTAAGGCACTTAGCAGTGCCTGGTAAATAAGCAGTTACTCAATGGTAGCTCCCGCAATGTATCTTTCTTAAAAATTTTTAAATTTTGTTTTATTTGTTATTATTATTTTTAAATTTGATGAGAGAGG